GTTAATTAAAGCTGATGTTTGAAAAATGAAGAGGTCAGTCAGGGAGTGTTTTATGGGGAATACACTTGAATTTTATCTGGAATGTTGACAAGAATCAAGGTAGACAGATGGGAGGGACATCTTGCAGAGACAGAAAAACATGAGATAAAGTTTCCAAATGGGTTATGTAGATTAGTTTGGCTGGGATAGAAGAAAACTTCAAAGAAAAGGTAGGCTGAGAAGCTGGAACTTGACCCCGTGGGACATGGGTAACCACCGAGTATTTTTAAGCAGGGAGACAAGGTAAAAGTGGACCTTGGGGCAGAGATAATGAAGAGACACAGGGAAAGGAGGGAAAGGAGACACATTTAGAAGACTTTTTTCTCAAAGAAGTTTTGTTTGCTTCATTCTTCCCTTAACACTAGACAAAGTAGAAAAACTTTCGGGAATGACTCATCCCTAAATCTTTCAAAAGCAACGATAGTACTAAGAAATCAAATTATTTTTACATTTATAAGCTTACAAATTGACTTTAGGTATGTGATGGATATTTTAAAACACTAAGTATTGCATACACCTAATTTCTTTGAAATAATTAATCATAAGGAATTCTACATGATTCTATTTATCATACGGTGGCCACAAGCTCCTTGAAGTTTTTTTTTTTTAACACTAGTGTTAAACCATTTTGATGAAAATCTTGCTAAAATATGTTTTTCTTCTGTGTTCATAAAAAGTTAATCCAATGAGTGAAGGTCAGCAATATTTATATAGTTTCAAAGCATTCCTCCAAAAGATAGTCATTAATTATAAAGGGAAAAATTAGTTACTGTACAGTGGAGAAATATGACAGACACCATCCTGACAAAGTTAACATCATTAATAATAGAACCAATCGGTAACCAATGTCTCCTTGATGCACTGAGAGGAACAGAACATCACTGCCGTGGTACCTCTGCCGCATTTGTATTACACACATGTGTGCATAACCTGAATCATCATCCAGATAAACCCGATGGAGGGACATTCTACTATGTAACTGGCCTGTACTCTTCAAAAACGTTAATATGAAATTAAGGGAAAAAAGACTCAGGAAGTGCTGCTGACTAAAGAGACACGACAAGTGTACGGAACACATGATTCTGGATTTTCTTCTGCTATCGGGGACGTTATTGGGACAAATGGCAACACCTGAATAAAGTCTGCATACGTGATAACAGTACTATATCAGTACTGATTTCCTGATTTTGATCATTACACTGTGGTTATATAAAATGATGTTCTTCATCTTTAGGGAACACACATTAAAGTATGTAAGGATAAAGGTACACACACACACAAAAAATATTTACAGATAAGGAACCAGCATTTCTGCTGCTCTCACATAGTTGAGAAACACACACATGAGGGAGAGGGAGAGAGATTAAGAAAATATAATAAAATGTTAACATCTAGTTGAAGGGTAGATGGTATTCTTTGCATTCTTTTGCCACTTTTCTGTAAGTCTAAGAGTATATATTAAAAAAATGGAAAAGAACATACTGTTTTGTTGATTTTTTTTTTTTTTGCTAACTCTTTGGTAATGCGGGACTTGTGCGGCTGTCAAGAACATAATATAATTTAGTGATACCCTCTGGGGCCACTGAGATATGTAGGGCTATTTGCCCCTATCTAGCTGCCTTCAGCCATGATTATTTTTGAACCTTTGTAAATGCTTTTCATTTTCTTACGATTACCCTTCCAATCAGGTAATCTGTTGTCACCATTGTTGACTGCAGTTTGCCTCCAGGAGCCCCTATGCCACCTCCTAATTAATTGGTCCAATCTATTACGTGCTTGGAAACTGATCTAGCTCATGTTCACTTTACAGATGAAAAAACTCTAGTCCAGAAAGGGTGAGTAACTTACTGAAGATGTCCATTATCATCAAGAACGGAAAAAAGATCTGAAAAATTCCAAAGTGCTTTTTGTGACATCATGCTGATTTAATTAGTATATAAAACAGGAGGAAACAGTCTCTTAATAAAGAACTGTGTTAAGAGTAAAGCTCAGGAACTTTAAGGAACAGACGTTGTCATATTAATCCTAGCTGTCCCTTAGCCTCTTTTTGCTTACCAGTGGCCAGATGATCAAAGTGTTGGTGTATTTCAAGATTTTCCCCTAAGCTTCCTCTTTATTTAAAAAAGAAATCCCCATGTTTCACAATCTCCAGATACTCTACTGCTTACTTGGTGGCTGGCTGAATTGCCCAAAGTTTGAATTATTACCCACTTAGATTCTATACAGTAAAAGGAGAGGACACATGCTACTAAGTCATATGTAATTGAACAGAGTTTAAAATGTATGACGAAATTCTAGAGCATCATGTTCCTCTGAAGTATTTTTACAGATGTTTTCAGATAATTGAATCTTCTGCCTCCTCTCTTACTGTAAACATTTAGTGGAGTGAAATCTCTTGAAATAATTCCTTGGTGGGGGGGTCATTCTTCACAGAGCACTGGCATTTACTCAAAGGCTTCTGGATGGCAAGAATTGCTTAGAACAAAGTCTGTCAAATGGTTGAAAATGCTACTTTGAGGAGGCTGGTATGAAATGACTTTTTAAACCACATGAGATTTTGAAATAATCTCCAAACCCAAATGTTTATGTAAATTTTCATCAGCGGGGGAACTATTTAAATAAATGTAGTGTCTCTTCAGGGGAATATCCTGGTATCATAAGAAAGAACGAGGAAGTGATCTCCAAGACATATTATTAAATGAAGAAAGCAAAATGTAGACACATCACATACAAAAATTAACTCAAACTGTATCATTGACTTAAATGTAAAAGCTAAAACTATAAAATTCTGAGAAGACAACAGAGGGTAACTCCGTGATGCTGTATCAGGCAATGGTTTCTTAGGTATGACATCAAAAGCATGAGCAACAAAAGAATAGGGAAACTGGACTTAATCAAAATTAAAACCCTTTGAGCCTCAAAGGATGCATTAAGAAAGTCAACCCACAGAATGGAGAAAACATTTGCAAATCTTGTATCTGTTAAGGGACTTGTAGCCAAAGTATATAAATAACATGTATAATTCAACTATAAAAAGACAAAGTAATTAAAAAATGAACAAAGGACTTGAATAGATATTTCTCCAAAGAAGATATATTAATGGCCAATAAGCAAATGAAAAGATGCTCAGACATTCCTAACCATTAGAGGGACAGAAATGAAACCACAGTGAGATACCACTTCATACCCACTAGGCAGGCTATTCAAAAATACAGTAAGTGAGGATGCGGAGAAGTTAGATCTCTCTACATTGCTGGTGGGAGTGTAAAACAGTGCAGCCCTTTGGAAAACAGACTGGCAGTTCCTCAAATGGTTAAACAGACAGTTACCATCGACTTAGCAGTTTGCCTCCTAAGCATATACCCAAGAGACCCGAAAACGTGCCCATCAATTGATGAATGGATAAACAAAGTGTGGCATATCCATACAATGGAATATTTTTCAGCCATAAAAAAGAAAAAACATATTGATACATGCTGTATCATGGATGAACCATGAAAACATGTTAAGTGAAAGCTGAATACAAAAGGTCCCGTATTATGTGAGCCCATTTACATGAAATTTCCAGAATAGGCAACCCCACAGAGACAGAAAGAAGACTGGTGGGGGCTGGGAGCAGAGGGGGATGGGGAGTGAGCACCAATGAGTATAGGGTTTCATTATGGGGTAATGAAAGTATTCTAAAATTGGACAGTAGTGATGGCTGCATTATTCTATAAATATACTAAACACACACACACACACACCCCCACTGAACTCTATGCTCTAAAATGGTGAGTTTCCTAGTATGTGAACTGTACCGCAGTAAAGCTGCTGTTAAAAAACAAAAGCAAACTGTCGAACAATGTGTATGGGATGCTATTGCTGACAGATTTGCTCGTATCTCCATAAAATCTCCCTGAAAAGATACACAGGAAACTAACACTGGCCTCCTCAGCAAGGGGACAGGAGACAGAGGAAGATTCTTCACCATGTACTCTTTTTTAACTTTTGAACCATATCTATATAGTACTATTCAAAAGTTTTAATTAGAAGTGAAATGAGGGGGGTGGGTATAGCTCAAACAGTAGAGCGCATGCTTAGCATGCACGAGGTCTTGGGTTCAATCCCCAGTACCCTCACTAAAAATAAATAAATAAGCAAACCTAATTATCTACCACCCACTAAAGGAAAAAACGAAAGAAGTGAAAGGAAATTAAAAAGTGCTTTTAATCGACTAGTTCCTTCCATTGGTTTGACAAAGCAAAGTTCTATGCAAAACAGCACACTTAGGGGCTGTGGATGGTAATAAATGCTAAAATTAGCCTGAATTAACAGAAAAATCAGTATGGTTTTCTTTTTTATACTGTTTAATTCTGGTTCCATTAACTTTTCCCTTTTGGTCTTCTAACTCTTTATATCTTAGTGGCTCTTTGATGAAGACATTGTCTGTATCTCTTTTATTTGGAAACCCAAACTAAACAAATTTTTCCTATAATTGATCAAATTTCCAAACTTGTTAAAAAAAAAAAAAAGCAAGAAACCTATTTTTTTTAATTTCTGATAAAACCTCCCTCTACCAGACATTATAGTTTAGAAGACATTAAGGATAATAAGTGACCTTTGATTTAGGAATAAATTTAAGAATAAATGACCTTTAGGAAAAAGCCAAAAACAGCTAGAAACACTATTTCCTACATGCTCCACTCCTAAATGCCCATGCAAGTGGATTAAAACTGCCCTCTGAAAGCCACTCTCTATTTTTCACCAACTTTGTCACAGGGCTAGTCCAGAAACAGGCCTCCAAAACAGGCCCCTGAACCCCAGCTCTGCTCATAACTGGGGCAGAAGGAAAGAGCCCCACTTGGTGAAGAAGGTCTCTCTTCCACTTAATTCCACACTCTCCAGCTGCAAACAGAGCGTAGTTTCTTCCATTTTGGAGAGTTCTATACTGCAGATCTGATGTGATATACAAATTACCTACGCTCTTCTGTTACTATGCCCGCGCCACGCACACACCCCCTCGCCGATGCAGAGGGGAGAGCTGCTTTACAAGGCCACAGGGCTGTGCCAGCCCAGCCTCAACGCCCTAGCACGGCACACAAAGCCCTTCAAAGGCTGGCTCCGGGTTACCATTCTGGCCAGTTCATCACTCTCTCCATCTCACCCCAGACTATACATTTCTGCCACATCAAACTTCTAGCCCTTTTGCCAACACAGTGCACTTTTTGACAACCATATGCTTTGTACATGCTACTCTTTTTGTCTGGAATGCCATCTCCACCAACTCACTCACTCAAACAACGCCTACTCTTCCTTCAGGGCAACTCCAAGATAATCACGTCTGAAAAGTCTCCCCTAACTTGGGGTCTAATTGTGTGCATTTTTTTCTGAAGTTTAAATGCATTTCTATTTAAAAAGACTTATTACCAAGTTATAAAAATTAGCGTATTTCATCAATTCTAAGACACCACTGATGACAAGACATTATTTTATGTGCCACCAGGAAGTAAAAATGGTGGCTCAGTGACTGTAAGGCACATTGCAACATGAGAGATATTAAAATGTGCAAAAAATGATTGTTAAAATTAAAGAAACATAGTAAAACAAATCTGAAAGGTAAAGATGTTGTTTTCCAACTATCTGTTTACCTGTAACACATCTCTTGATAATTGTTTTCATCTCTTCCAGGCCTTTGGCAACTAAGATTTTGGATTTTACTCACATTTGATTCTTCCCAATAATTAGCTCGGAATCTAAAACCTAAGCTATGCACAGTAAGAGTCCCATTTATTAAATTTAAAAATAAGAATTCCTATTTATTAAGCATCTGTTTAATCAAATATAAAAAGAATCTGATAAAACTTAGAAATCATTAATGCCATAAAAATAAAACTTAAAACAGCTTCTTTGTCCGCAGTGACCCAGGCAATACCAGTATTTCAGCATCAGTGTTACCCCTAAATATACTGGAGATGTTAAATATTCTTAGCCTTTTAAAAAGATGCATAGGATATGCCCTTGCATTCAAGGTTCCAAAAACATTCTTGACATTCGAGTTTGCCAAATCTCCCATTTGCTACATTAGATTAATGGGGTATGGGATTTACTTAGTACAGAGACAACATTTTTGCCCCATAACATAAACAATGATAGGCACTTAAGAATATATTTGTAAGAAGAGAGTCTGATGTTTGCTGACGGCTTTCAAGCTGTCCCCGTCCCCCTCTCCCCAGGGGAAGCTGCTAAGAAGCCCCAGATGACCCCTCCTTTGGAGCAGATGGGAAGTTAAAACCAAGCCCGGCCAGCAGCACAGATGGGAACCCTGACCCAGCCCCACCACCTAATCACAATAAAAGCAAAGCCAGTCTCCTTCCTTGTACTTTTAAGCCACTTTTGGACCTGCTTGAGAAGCCTGCTCTGCTCTTCCCAGAGAGCCTCATTATATGATCAACAAACCTTTCGATGCCCTCTTGGTGCACAGGTGGCACTGTCAGCTCCTATATCCAAACCAAATCTGGTGTGCGTTGCGGGGCTGGGGGGTGTCCTCTCACCTCTGTGGAGCGATCACAGCAATGCTAATTCTCCAACTGATGGCAGCAGATAATACTGCTATGATTTCACTCCCAATTTAAAGTAAATGTAATGATACAAGTGGATAAAAATGTTCATTCATTGTTGTAAAGGGTCCACGGTAAGGACTTTTATTCGGGCCTACGTGTAAACTTATTCCAGAGGGCGGGAGCGGGAAAAGCATCTGTCTATCTGCAGGTTCTTAGAGAACTCATGGGCCTCAGTCAGACAAACTTTCTAACGGCTCTTATTCATTTTACGTGTCACAAGTTCTCCCCCTAGAAAGGCAAGTTGTTTACAAGATAGCTCCAACTTTTCCTGGAAAACCACCAGTGTGGCTGTGTGGTCTGCAACTACGGAAGCCAGAGGGCTACCTGAGACAGCGAGGAATGATGTATAACCCTGGGCAAAAACCTCTCTATGCCTCAGCGCCTTCCACTATTTATTCTAACAACCGTACCTACCACACAGGGTTATTACAAAACAAAATGAGTTAATATTTATAAAGGGCTTAGAAGAGTGCCTGGCCTATGATAAGCTCCACATGAATTTCTGATAAATAAATAAGCAGCTGCAAGGACATTTTAGGTGTATTTGTGCAATGGGATGCTTTTGGGCTATAAAAAGTATCTATCAAAATCGACAGCAGCCTCTCCTTTCTGAAAAACTGCGTTAGTAAGGAGTCTAAGAATGTCGGTCCCATTTACTTCATGGCATTGGTCATCTCCCCAAATGGACTCTGAGCACGTGGAGAGCCTGAGTCACCCCCACAGTCCTCTTCTGTTCCTGCCAAGCACGTTCACAGTGTCAAGCTCCTCAGGAACATCCAGGGATGCCAGTGGCTGGGCTGGCTTCGGAATGGTGTCGACAGTGCTGGAACTAAAGCACAGACAGGCTGCCCGGCCCACCTCGGTGAGCTCTACTTTTCTTGAAATGGGAGGTGTTCTAGAGTACTCTCTAAGTAAAGGATGTTCAACAACTGTTCATGCGGAGTCCGGAGACAGAGGCCAAGTTAGCCAGGAGCAGAGCAACAGAAAACAGACCACTGTGGCTTGACTGCTGGAAACAAGAGGCATCGTTACTTTCATTTATTTACACTCTGCCTAGTTATATGAAGCAGCTGATGTGGCTTACTACAAATACATACAAACATAAATCCTAAATAAAACACGGAATCAGGAAAATATCAAGTAAAATCTCAATGCTGGGGGTAAGGTAACAGAACAGAGACATGCAGGAGATACGGTCTTTTCTTGGCTGGCGTGTCTAGAAATCTCTCCTACGCTTTACAGCCTAAGTAATGCAGGGAGTATGTCTTTAAGAACAACCTATAATAGTGCAATTGTGTATTTTGTAAAGCAGGCTCTCCTGACACTCCCCGTACAAAAAAAAAAAAAAAAAGCTGATGATATTACACCACAATAGGACTCAAAGAAAGCATTTGTGTAAGGAGCCAAAGCATGACTGTCCAAATACAAAGCCAGACCAAGGATAAGACGTGGAACAGCTACAGAAGTCAATGGACTGCACATTGCTTGAACAATCCTTTACAAATACCCCTTCCCTTGACGGGGCTCCTGATAAAAGTTGTTTGGCAAAACGTTTCCCATTACACTCTTTGCCAGTGTGGTCTGTGTTGATTATCAAAGGAAGGTCCACATTCTTGACAGATCAAAGAACAAAGCAGGTTGACAGTTCACTGTAAAAGCTGAGGTGTCAAACCAAAGCTCTCACCTAGGTCCGTGGCCATCTCGCGCCCCCCACCCCCCAGGTGGGAGGTGAGTCACGGGAATGCCCCGTGAAGCCACAGCAGCCCCTCTCCTAGGGAGTGACTTTGGGATTGCTCCAGAGTGAAGTACAAATGATAGGTCACACGGCCAACTACCGACCATAGAGCACAGGCAATACGATTTTAGTCCAGAATTTCCCACAGTACTTGCTAACAGTCACCCAGAACAGTCAGCAGCTACACACTTCGCAGGGCCTAAGCCAAGGATGGGAGGGGGCCAAAATCCCAACCCCAGGAGGCAGCACGGAGGCAAGCTGACATGTGAGCTGAGGCTCGTGCACACAACACCCCACAGTCTCAGCAGACTTCATCTATAAAATACACATTCAAAGATCTTTCAAGACATTAAGACTATCAAGACGGTGACCTCAGAGCATGGCAGCCCAAGTTGGTCACAGGGCCCTCTTGAGTGCGAGGCCCTGAGTGACGATGCTAATTGCCTGCCTGTGAAGCTGGCTCCAACAGCCGTGAAAGATTCTGCAAAATGTTCCCACAAAACGTCTGACTTTGAATGATAAACCTCATCAATAACCCGGTCAATTGAATGAGTTATGAAAGATATTCCTCTGTCACATTTACAGCTCTCCATCATATCAGACACAGTACACACGGGTTTCAAGTTACCATCACCACCACCACCACCACCATCACGACCTAAGAAATGACATTCCTAGACTTTTGGCTCTAATTACAAAATGAAACTATTATTCCTATTCTGAGATAAGAGACTAGGGACTCCTTACTGAAATCTCTTCAGGCAATCCATATATACTTATTTTAAAATTTGGAAAGTATCTTTTCCATTTGAAAGTTACTATTAATGGGAGGTGGGTACAGCTCAGTGGTAGGGCCCATGCTTAGGATGCACGAGGTCGTGGTTCAGTCCCAGTACCTCCATTAAAAAAAAAAAGAACGTATACAAGATCTTGTGGTAGCTCACAGCGGGAAAAAAATGTGACAATGAATATACGTATGTTCATGTATAACTGAAAAATTGTGCTCTACACTGGAATTTGACACTACATTGTAAAATCACTATAACTCAATAAAAAAATGTAAAAAAAACTAATAAATTTTGGGAAAAAATGAAAAAGAATGAATTTCTGAAAGTTACTATAAATGTCACAACTAAGCAATACACTCTTATGCTTATATTCCAGCCTTCTGACATTATGGAAAATAAGAATAATTTGATCAGACTGAAAGGCTTTAAACAGGAAAGTGACATGCAATTTAAAACAGTTCTCGCTTTTACGCAGAAACTAGAATGGAGGGGGATGTGGGCAGAAACAGGGAAATTGGTTAGGAAGTTATGGGACGGAGTGGTGGTGACCTGGACCAGAGGTGACGAGATGGAAAGAGAAATGGATGATCGACAGCACTTCTTGCAAACTGAATCTGGGGACGAAGAAAAGGAATGAACCAAGAATAACTGCTGGGTTTCCTGCTTGAGCAACTGGATAAGGAAAGGTGCTTACAGAGCTAGAGATCTAACTTGGAGAAGGAAAGGAAATCAACCTACATTCTCAAAAATGTTAAATTTGTGATGTCTATGAGACCTCCAAATGGAGCCAAGTAGGTAACTGGATATGCTGGTCTGAAGCTCAGAGGAGTCTGGGCTGTGTATAAATTCCTGAAGTGACCAGCATACAGGTGGTATTTAAAATCACAGAAGAAAAGGCCATCACCTAAGAAAATAATGCTGTGAAAGATGAGGGTCAGGCCTAAGTCTGGAGGAGTCAGGTATGGAGGGAGGGAAGGCCTTGCAGAAGGCAGCTGACATGGAGCAGCTTGTGACCAAGGAAGAAAACCAGAGAATGGGGTGTCAGGAAAGCCAAAAGAGGAACGGGGTGGGGGGAGTCTCAGCAGGTGACCACAGAGAAGGATCAACAGAGTCTGGCAGCCTGGCATGTGTGATCCAGGCCAGGAGAAGTTCAGTGGTGACGAGGTCGGACTGAAGCAAGGGTGTGAAGGGCGGGGGTGTGTACAAAGACGGGAGTACAGACAGCTCTTCAGAAATTCTGCTGAGAGTTGGAGCCTGGAAATGTAGCTAAGGGGCTTGTGGGACCAAGAGAGGGTCTTTAAAGATTAGAAATTCTAGAGCTTGTTTGTACTGTAATAAGGACAATCCAAAGAGAGGTGGTAAAGAAAGCAACAAACCCCTGAGGAGATGAAAAGAGATGATGGGGTGGGGCTGGCCAGCTGGTTACAATGAGGGGACAGAAGGGCAAGGGAGGCAGGAGTATTTGAAAGGGAGTGATTATAACAATGCACCATGGAATCTGAGCTGGAGACGAGAGAGGAGCAGCCAGGAAGTGACTAATGTGAGTAAGAGAGTGGGAAAGAACCAGAAGTCTTAATGAGTTCCAGAAAGTGTTGCAGTAAGACTGCAAGAAGGAAGTGGGGCTGGAAAAATAGGATGAGTTTTTAAGAGTTGTTGCATTTTCTAGCAATGACGAGGCTCAGAGAAGACAAAACTAGAAGTGAGATGGCCAGGGAAGGAGATGTTCAGAGTGTAAAAAACACCTCCTCAAGAGATGGCATGCGCCCAGGGACTTCCTGCAAGTGGCTGGCCAATAGGGATACGAAGAATGAAAGGGAGGAAGGTACAAACAAGTTCTCTGGCTGCATTCCCCAGGTACAAAGCTGCCTAATGGGCTCCCCGGGGCTTCTTGGGGTGTCGTGGCAATGTGTACGGGAAGGCAGCGCCTCCTGAGAATTTCAGAGCTCAGTTTCCACATTTGTTTCAGGTAAATTATACCGTAGAATTTCAGAAACTTTAAGTTGTTTTTAAAATTCAAAGAGCCCTTTTATTTCATAACTTTCAACTAACAAACTTAAAACAAAGTATAGCAACACTCTGCTCACCACCAACAATATATATTCAACAGACACCTACTGGGTTCCCTGCTGGGCACCTTCTAGGCCTTATCCTCCAGTGGGAGGACCCAGAAAGAACAAACAGATACAGAAGAAATAATATATTTTCAGCTATAAACAGTAGAAAGAGTATAAACTAGAGCAATGGATATCAGCAAAAAATACGGTTAGCAGTTGTATGTTCATTTTTTGTTGGTTTGGGGGGAGGCAGTTAGATTTATATATCTTAATCAATCAATCAGTCAATCAATCTATCTATCTATTTTAGTGGAGGTACTGGGGATTGAACTCAGGACCTCGTGCATGCTAAGCATGCACTCCACCTCTGAACTATACCCTCCTCCCTTGCTCATTTTATTTTGTGCCACTGTGCTGTTAGCTGACACGAGTGTTCACTGTGTGTGTGTGTGTTCGTTTTTGTGTACTGTGACTCCTAAGTCCGATGTTCTTTCCATGCAACATTAGTATATTAAATACCTTGAAATCGGGTGTAGAACTGCTTATTTAAAGGGAAAAAAAAAAAAAAAAGGAAGGTCCGTGAAGCTTGAAATAAGAGGTAGCAACACTCAGCAGATGCTGTTGTTCAACTGTAGAGAGAATCCACTTCACATGACACGCTCTCTGTCTAGGAAAACTCTCAAGATGCAGGGAACTATCAAGGAGTCCAGTCAAGGTTTCTGGGCCGTCTCCTCATGTCTGAAGTGGCACTGTCAGCATGTGACAGCACTCTCCAGTGAAGAGGGTGACTTAACCAATCCAACGTGTCTGTTAGTTACATGCCTACCACAGAGAGAGGGATGTTTCAGGCTACCATGGCTTGACGACCATAACCATTCAATAAACATCCACTGAGCTAATGCCATATTCCCTGGGCAATCTAGTGAGGATAGTTTGTCTTTGGACAGAGAGAAAAATGCACTAACAACTCAATCCGCTTAAGGATTCTAGCCCCCCAGTATTTATAATGCTCACTGAAACTCCATAAGCTGACATGATGTTCTTACTGGATATAATGCCCTTGAGAGCCTGGTTAGACAGTTTCCCCCCTGAGCCACATCCCTGTCAAATCCAATGTCTGGACTACAAAGCTGACATCTGACTGCTCCCTGCATCTGAAGATCCTGAATTCTGGGAAGACCTACCTCTCTATTTTCACTCATTCTCTGTTCTATTGTTTATAGTTTCTACATGGGGTTCAGCTCAACACTTCACCTCATATCTACTAAATGCTTACTATGTTCCAGGTATTGTGCCAAGTATCAGAGGCTTAAAGATGAACACGGCACAGTCCTGCACTTAGA